GGGTTTACAGCTGTAGGTTGAAACAGGGTCAGAAAAGTATTTGCGTCTTCAGACTTAGCGGAATCAGAGTTGTAGCAGTTTGTAGCATTTGCAGCTGCAAAGCCTTGCTTCAAGCCTAACCCCCCCCCCCTCCCCAAGTCTGACCCTAAAACCCAAAAACCCTAAACCCCAAACCCTAAACCCAAAAACCCTAAACCCTAAACCAAAAACCCTCAACTCTAAAGCATGAGCAATGAGGCGGACCTGCGGCCCTTCATCGTCTGGCAGTGCCCCTGCAAATCCTCAAGCTCTTAAGCCCGAAGCTCCTAAATGAAAGTTATATAGCCTAAACCCTAACCCCTAAACCCTGACTTGGAAGTGCTTCCTCCATAAACCTTAAAGGGACCGGAAAGCTTTGCGGTATAGAAGCCGTATTGCAGCCCTTGTAGAACCCTTGACCGGACCCTTTTCCAGGAAGGACCTTTAGAACCCCAAAGTTTCGGGTTTAGGACTATACACCCTACCTGGAGGGTCATACCCTACCCACCTTTTTCAAGGTACCTACCTAGTTTTAGGGTTAGGATCTGCTAGAAAAAAGCAGGTACCCAAAAAAGGGGTAGGGTATGAGCCTACAGGAGTAGATCCTGACTCGAAAGCCGTAACTCGATGCCTAAAATGATAAGCCTCTCCCACCCCTAAACCCTAAACCCCTCAAATGATAAGCCTCTCCCACTTTGGCAAAGCCGAGGAGGCCTCCGGCTCGGGTGAGATGGCAGAAGCGGGGACTCGACCCAGATCCATGTGGTGGGCCCAGAACATTGGTGCATTGGTACCCGGGTCCCTACATCCTAAACTCTAAACCAGAACAGACCCCGACACCAGACCCCCAAACCCGACTTGGGATGAATGTCGTCCCATGTCTCTCGTTTCTCCAAGACAGGTTTGGGAGGCTACCGGGATCTTCTCGGGTTCAGGATGTTTGATGGTTTTTTTGGGTGCAAGGCCAGGGTTTAGGAATGGGGGTTATGGGCCCACCATCGGTTTCGGATTCTGAGTGCAGGATGTGAGACTTAGGATAAGAGAGTTTTGGGTTGAAAATTGAGTTTGGTGGGCAACCTGAAACCCTAAACCCCTAAACGTCGAGCCCCAAAACACATCCTAGAACCCGAACCCTGAACCGAGCCTAAAGCCCAAACCCCGAACCCTTAAACCTTCAGCACTGAGCCCTTTTTTACACAGCAGAGTGGGCCGACTCCCTTGGTTTGGGGCACCTTTAGGGACGAGTCTACTATCACTCTTACCATTTTTAGGACCAGTATTCCTTACTATTACTTTTCTCCTAGCACTATTAGGCAATTGCCAGTATACTCCAAAGCCTAACCCTCTTTTTTGAAATCGAAGCTTCCGGCTCGAAGCTTCCGGCTATGAAGGTATAGAAAGACCGAAGCAACCTTCAGCTTAAACTTGCAGGCTAGCATGCTGGTGTGGAGTTTCACTGTTACAAACTCCAATAAACCCAAAAGCCGAATCCTTGAAGGGCCGAAATTACTCACTGTCTGGGAACAACGCTAGCCCAAAACTCTAGACCCTAAACCCCAAACCCGAACGCTAAGCCCTCAACCCTAAACCAACGCCCGAAAAACTCAACCCTCGCCCCTAACCTTCCCAGGTCTCTTCCCCTCCTTTTGGAGGGCGCAGCCTGCGATCGCCCTGCCAAAGAAGCAGAGGCATGGACCCCTGAAGCCTAAAACGGAGGGGTTATTTTTGTTTGCCTTTCTTTTTTGCCTGCCGGGGGTCGGGAGGTGGGTGGGTGGGTGGGGTGCAGGGGGTGCGGGGGACTGCGGGCGGGCTGGAGGCCCAAGTCTTTACGTGCAAGTGGGCTTTGAAGCAATAAACAGGTGGAAGCAACATAACGTATTGACATGACGTCGATTAGGTTAGACTAGGTTTGATTGATATTTATCATATAGAAATTGTGTTATTCTATCTTATATTGATATTATCTCGATATGATATGCATAATTTATTAATGAGATTATACAAACTTTTTACATCAATAGCAAAACCCCGCTTTGTTAATGCTGCGAAATATGCTACACTTCAATCTATACTACTATATGAAAAGACTAGTCTTGCTGTATGCTTATATGAATACCATATCAAGATTATGCAGATCATATATGGGTAATATAGTAGTAGACAAGTACTATTCCTTATAGTTATTATTTTAAATATTAACAATGTTGATATTAATTCCCCTGTTGCTATGGTACGCAATCGTATACTATTGTAATCTACTACGGCATGTTATAACATGGGGTATGCATTTCAATAGATCATCCACCCCCCCTAAAGCCCTGAACCCTAAATCAGGGTTTACCTGTGACCCCAAACCCTACAACATAGTAGGTTATGACCCCTTAATTAGAGGGTAGAACCCCGAAAACGGTAGGTTTTTGGATTCCCCGGTAGGGTTTAGGGTCAACTTAGTGTGTTCCGATGAAGGTTCGATAGGGGTTCGAGAAGGGCTTCCAAAAGGGTTCGGTGCATGAGGTTTTCTACCACTTTGGGGTGTAGGGTTTTAGTAAAGGGCCTTGGGCTTGAGAGTTTGGAGGATAGCTGCTTAGGGTTTAGGGTTACGGGTTTAGGGTTCAGGGTAGTCTGCAAGCACCTTCTCAACAACCCTAACCCTACCTAGAGGGTCCTACCTTACACCCATTTTTCAGGTACCCTCCTACTTTTATGGCTAGGATCTGTTGTGTAAAAAATTAGGTACTTTAAAATAGGGGTGTGGGGTATGACCTAACTATAGAAGCCTAAATAACTAGTTGCCAACAGTATTCCTTCGGGTTCCTTACTAGCAAATTCACTACTGCAAAGGAGCCCAAGCCCAGTATACTCACACTATAAAATGGTGCCACAACCTTATTTTAAGGCCCTTACAGTAAACCCCAAACCCGAAACCCCAAACCCTAAACAAAAAAAATGCTGAACCCCAAGCCCTAAACCCTAAACCCCAAGCCCTAAACCATAAAACCCCCCAAACCCTAACCTAAACAAAAAAAGGCTAAACCCCAAAACCCTAAACCCTCGCAAACAAAATAGCGCAACCCAGAGACTTCATCAGGCTGAGGCTCCGGAAGCAGCCTTCGAGGACGAAAGTAGGGCTTTAGAGGGGTTTAGGGGTTTCGATGTTAGGGGGTTAGGGTCAGCGGATGAGGGGTTTGGAATAACAGGGATTTGGGTTTAGGGCTTGACGGCTCGCAGCAATAGTTATGTTATGGCATATTTTCGTATGTTCTTGTTGATTATATGGTATACTTCAGCTTAGTTTCAGGTCCCACTAGTGTCAGTCTAAGACCTCGTCCACAAGTTCCACATTTCAGCGCAATCAACGATCTAGGATCTAGGGCCATGTATCGGGTTGAGGACCATGTTTAGGGTTTGGCCCTGATGAGGGTTTGGGGTTTGGTCTGTTCGCATGCGGCCATGTTGCAGGACCTCCAACTGGCTGTTCCGGCCACACCAAACGAGATGGCGGAGGTATCAGAGTAGTCTACCCGCAATATGAAAGGCGAGGTGAGTGACACACTACGAAATGAGCCAAGTGTCATAGGGCTTGAGAGTAGTACTTGGGACATTTGGCGGTCTTTCGGGCCAGTGGTCGAGATCAAACGCCGAACCAACCCTAAACGGTAAGTCTTGACCCATGGGCCCTGAAATGTTCCTTGGGCCCTACTTATGGCTCTCTCAAAGGGGACCTTATTGAGAGGGTCTATATCCCCAAAATTCCGCCTAATCCTAACTCCTAACCTAAGGCCGTGGGAGCTTCAACGTTGCGCCGTCTACTGCCGACCCCTGGGAATCGAAGTCTGCGGTCCGGCTCAGCAGTTTTTCATCCCCTGGGAGGCAGTCTCCGGTTCTTAATAGGGTTTAGGGGTTTAGGGCTTTAGGGCTTTAGGGTTTAGGGGTTTAGGGTTTAGGGTTTTAGGGCTTTAGGGGTTTGATGGTTTAGCGGTTTAGGGGTTTAGGGTTTAGGGCTCAAGGTAAAGGATTGCTCTAGGGGCCCATTTAAGGGTGACTGCAAGGGTTCCCGTTAATGAAGCTTTATGGGATCCTATAAGGGCTCCTCTAAGGAGTACGATTTACTGCTATAAGGGATCTGCAAGGGTTTCCTATGATTAATGGGTACTGTTTATAAGTTTATACGGGCTTCCCATGATTAAGGGGTGTTAGAAAGACTACTATAAGCATGGTTGAAAGGTTTCCTATGATGAGGGGGTGTTAGAAAGACTACAAGTGTTCGATAAGGGTTTTCTTTGATTAAGGGTAGGAGCGGCATTCGGGACTTGAGCGGGGTTTTGGATTTATTCCTGTTCTCGCTCTCATTATTATGGTTGTGAATCATTGGCTGGCTGTTATTACTAGATAGCAGCAGTAGCAGCAGCAGCAGCAGCAGCAGCAGCAGCAGCAGGAGCAGTAGTAGTAGTAGTAGTAGTAGTAGTAGTGGTGGTGATGGTAGTTGTAGTAGCAGTAGTAGTAGTAGTAGTAGTAGTAGAAGTAGTAGTAGTAGTAGTCGTCGTCGTCGTCGTCGTAGAAGTAGAGGTACTCGTAGCAGTAGCAGTAGTAATAGTCGTCGTGGTAGCCGTAGTAGTCGTAGTAGTGGTGGTGGTGGTGGTCGTCGTAGTAGTAGTCGTCGTAGTAGTCG